CAACAGGTCCAAGATGCCGAAATCCTAAACTAGAACCAAAGGGTCCTCACAACAGGTCCAAGATGCCGAAATCCTAAACTAGAACCAAAGGGTCCTCACAACAGGTTTAAGATACCGAAATCCTAAACTAGAACCAAAGGGTCCTCACAACAGGTTCAAGATGCCGAAATCCTAAACTAGAACCAGAGGGTCCTCACAACAGGTCCAAGATGCCGAAATCCTAAACTAGAACCAGAGGGTCCTCACAACAGGTCCAAGATGCTGAAATCCTAAACTAGAACCAGAGGGTCCTCACAACAGCTCCAAGATGCCAAAATCCTAAACTAGAACCAGAACTAGAGCAAACAGACAATAGTTCTAACATTCTCTCCTCCACTAGAACCTGATCTTCCCAATAATTCTAAAATACTTTCATTTCCAACTTAAATCTGACAGCAATAGTTCCAATATATACACTCCTGATTACAATTTTGTAGCCTAATATGATGTTCCAAAATGTTTTATCCTTGAACTAAAATACAAGTCTTACAGAAATTCATAAAATATTCTCCCTAATGAAATGGGCTGAAGTTCCACAGTCTTGAAACTGACAGTTTCACAAAATAACATTTCTTCCTTCACTGAAAGTAAACACTAGCAACTAACCCTGTAACTTGAAAATCAAATTCCCCACCTCAAGACAAGTGTTGTTAATTATTACCAATGAGTATTGTTTCTTTTCCTGTGATTGGACTTAAAAATTCAGAGCAAAGCTAAGAAATATAAATAATACATCAAAAACACTGCCCTTTTTTTATTAGCAGCAAAAACTTTAGCCTTGTTCTTGAACAAAGTATGCAGTGAAAAACATTGTCAATAATATATCATTTTTTTTTAATCTACTAGTTTTAACAGGAAAAAGTGTCCATTTGAAAATTGTACAGTGTACTTTCCAAAGGCCACTTTCACACAAACCTTATAGGTTGTGTAAAAGATAAGACACTAGTTACCATGTATCATCACATGTTAAAGCAGACAAAATATAAACTGAACTACATAATGGTATAGGTTATTAACAATGCAAGGCATTATATCAATAGATGCTTCACAGTTCATCTGGAACCATCTAACCTGAAACAAGCCATTGAAGTAAGAAAGTAGGTATAACGTAACCTTCTCACTGGTCAGAAGTATTATATAAAAAAAATCTCAAACTATTCTGCTTACACTTTGGTGTGGTACAATTTTCAAAAACAACATCTGACCAATACATCCGTTTCAGTATTATAAACTGTATATTTCACCCTGTCAATTCTTGGAAAGGTTTCTAACCATTCCTTATCTTTAAAATGTAGATGTACAGGTATTTCTTCAAAACTTCTTTATTAGCTCATGCTTCTTCATTTAGTTTCAAAGTAGCAGTTTCAGTTCATCTACGCATCTTTGAACAAACACCTTAAAATATTCACCTCATCTGTCCAAGAAGGCCATGTCACTGACCTTGTGCATTTCACTCATTTCAGGGGGAAAAGAAGAAGTCTTCCTCAAAAGTGTCACTGAACAGTCACTCAAGACAGTTCTATACAGCTGTAGGTTCCTCATCAGAAAGTTTACACTGTTTACACTGACAGCATAGAAAACATGGAGCTCCGAGTAACAACAGTGGTGACGCTACAAGGAGAAGAAACCCAAACCCAGCAAAGATACACACCACCTGCATTGAAAAAACATAGGCACTTAAAAACAAAACTGAGGAGATATAAAAAGGTGTTATTCCAGTTAGGTTTTGTTACCTACTCTCAGTTAATTTGTTCAATACTAAAGTACAACATTAAACCTACACATTTCTAGATAGAATAAGAGAAGAAACACACACAAGCTCAGTTTTTCTTACTAATATTATTTAAAAGTTCTTAATTAAGATATTAGAGCTTAAACCATATTCATCACAACAAATATATAATGGCCAGATTAGTGATAATCTGAACATAACTATATAGTACCGAAGACACAACTCTGATATTCATGTAATATAAAGATCTACTAGTAAACGTTTGATGATTGATATCACTTGTTAAAGTGACAACAACTGCTGTACACTCTAAAATATCAATTGTGTAATATTCCTTTACATAATTCTGAATCATACTTAAATCTTTCTCTGTCATAACAGACGTTTTACAAAAAAATATTTTGGCTCAAACAGTGAAACAACACAGATGATATTGGTGCAGATTATAAAATGACTTCATTAAGCTACAAATTGTGAAGAAAAAACATTTTGATTATTTGACACATTTTCTTTTGTACTGTAAGCAAAGATAGTTATAATTCTGGTAGTTAACCCTTTCTATATGGGTCGTGGGTGAAAGGCCATGTCGTCTTGTTTGTTGACTCGCATTCAAAATTTTATTGAACTACTATTTCATGAATTTAAGTCAATAAATTTTGTATCAAACTGTAGATTATAATTCAAATTTTAGTATTATACATTACTTAATTTCTTAATTTAAAAGTAAATATTAAAAAACACAGATAAACATCAATTTTTGTGTGTCACGTGGTATGTTGAATGCAGCACTGGTTCAAGTTAGATGTTTGTGATGTCAAAATACTAAGTCTATAGTTTCATATGAATTAGAAATTCAAATTAAAGATATTGACAAGCTAGAATATAAAATGAGAAGGTCTTATCTTTTCTATTTGCTAAGATATTGCTCACGTAATAAATCAAACATAGTGGCACCCTACTCACCTCCTTCCATTTTGAAAAATGCTCCCTTTTATACACTTACTTCTATATATGACATGAATAACCAATCAGAAGCTCAGAATGTCCCCCTAGTGGTTTTTTAAGCCTTTCTAATCTACCTAGCATCATTTCTTTCTTTTAAATCAAGATTTCAATGACGTAGGTTGTGTCTTTAGTCTGCACGAAATTTCATATTTTTTAGACTAAAATACATCTTAGTTACTAAGCTTGATAAATTATAGTTAAATTCTATGGTATTGATGTAGTAATTTTTTATTTTTTAGTTATTCAAATGTATGTATAAAACCTAAAAAAAATATTTTGTTTCATATCCTCCACGTGCAAAATTTTTAAAGGCTTAGCAACCTACGTTAAGCAGCAACCGAGTCCAAAGGTCGTAACTAGAAGAGATAATTGTTTGCTTTACTTCTTTATTTATTGTTCTGTTTTAGGAAAAATAACCTTAAGACCTTATTTCAAAATAACAATAATCTATATACATATATAATGTATAATAATTGAAATGTAACTGTATTTTACAAAATACTACTCAACTAAAACACAGCCAAGACAAGTTACTTTGCATAGACCAAAGGTCAGTTTTATGGTATTTGATACAGTAACATGAGTGCACATGAGCTGCTTCATTGTAACTTCTGTATTGTTAGCCAGGTAGGGGTGAAAGGTCAATATCATAAAAATAATAAATATATATAAATGTATAATCTTATGAGATTTAAACTATTAAATCTAAACACTTTTTATGTTATAATTTGTGTTCATTCTAGAATGAAAGATGCATAATTTATGTTTATTTCCTATTTTTTGTTTTTTTATGGTGGTTGTGAGATTGGTCAAATTTACCGAACCCATACAGAGATTAATTATTGAAAATAACAGATAAAATATAAAGTTTTTTCTTAAGAAACATATGATAACTATTTTGACATTATAAAAGATTTCACATGTGAAACTTCAAAATTTTCTGATGCATAAACATATTTTTAATGTTAAGATGAAAATTGCTTTGCATGATAGATAGGCAAGATGTGAAAAAAAAGGCATGAAAAAAAAATATTGCTTTAAAAACCTTAAGACTTAATAAAAAAAAAAAAGATATTTTGTGTATGAGAGCATTGTAATGTTTGTAAACTGCCAAATTTCGTTAACATTTGCTTACTAATTTAAAGGTTATAGCATGAAAACTATAACAAGAAAAAAATGGTTACGAGGTCAGTCCCACAGACCAAGCCCAGGTTGAAAAAGTTAATTCTAATAGTTATAAACAGAAAATTTTTCCATTAACAATAACGATTTACATAAACACCAATATATTGTTTATTGCTAGCATAAAACCCAACATTACCTGAGTTCTATGCCATACAACAGATGCTCTGGTATGTCCAAGTTTGTTCTTACAAGGTCCTTTATCATAATGTCTCAGAAGAAAGTCATCCTAAAATAAGAAACATTAATCATTTAATTTGAATAAACATGCCTAGACAGTATTTCATGATATGAACACAGACTGGTGTAACCAAGCCTAGACAGTGTTTTGCTGTGTCATGAACACAGACTGACATTCTGAATCAATATTGCAAAAAAAATAATGAAGTTGCAAATTCAACCCTTTCAGATCTTGATCATTCACTTTAAATTTGAACAACTATTTTTAAGTAAATTAATTTTCATGTATAGGATTGTGGGGGAATATATTCCAAGACGCATTGCTTTACAAACCTTCTGGCAATTCAAAATTTCTATACAAAGACAGCCACAAATAAAATAGTGAGAGTTAACACATAAAATCACTTACGTCCAGTGATGTTAAGCAGTACCAACAGAAGACATGTTTACATCGTTTACACATCATTTGAGCACATCCTTCATCTCGCTCTATCAAAATATGACAGTTAGGACAGCGTTTAATGTTGCCATTTTCCGCATCCCACAGAAGGAAGCTAGAAAAGATGAAGGAATAGAATGATAAGTAAAAAACTAAACTAAACAGAAAGAACTGTGACATCAAAAAAAATAGGAACATTTGAATAAACAAGTTAAAAACCAACAGCACAATACGAGAACAGTATAACAGAAGAAACGCCTTACTCACGTGCTCGAAATCCACCAGTAAGAAACGCCTTACTCACGTGCTCGAAATCCACCATTAAGAAACGCCTTACTCACGTGCTCGAAATCCACCAGTAAGAAACGCCTTACTCACGTGCTCGAAATCCACCAGTAAGAAACGCCTTACTCACGTGCTCGACATCCACCAGTAATAAACACCTTACTCACGTGTTCGAAATCCACCAGTAATAAACACCTTACTCACGTGTTCGAAATCCACCAGTAA